TAAGATATATTTTCTTAAAACAAGAAAATGATTCATCTAGAAATATTTTCTTAATTAGAATTTTTTTCTCGCTATTCTCCCTAGTAAAAATTTTCTTGTTTTGAGAAATATTTTCTTAAAACAAGTTATATTTTCTTAATTTAAGATTTAATTTCATATTATTTAAGAAAAGTTTTTTTAATTTAAGAAAAATTTTCTAGTTCTAAAAAAATTTCTTATTTTAAGAAAAAGTGCACTAGAAAAATGTTTCATTATTTTCTTGAAATGAGATATATTTTTCTTAAAACAAGAAATGCGTTTTCTTATTTTAAGAAATATTTTAAGAAATATTTTCTCAGCTAGAAAATATTTCTCGCTATTCTCCCTAGTAAAAAAATTCTTGTTTTAAGAAAATATTTCTTGAAACAAGTTTTTTTTTCTTGAAATAAGAAAACGATTTTTTGCTGTGTAATTAAAATTAACTCTTACCCATTATGATTGGATGAAAGTGCTCATGCATGCACTCGCAGCGAGGAGCTTTGTGCCAGGACTGGAATTGCGCCCTAAGTCTAAAGCCCGCCGCGCACAAGCGCACTTGTCGCGCGTACTTGTTATTCGTGACAAGTTGGATCGACACAATTTCCTCGTGTGCGGGCAACATTTACGGCATTTTCGTCATTCGTGACACGTAAACCAAATATCAAACATGTTTGATATTTTTCGTCATTCGTGACAAAAAAATTCTCATGTGCGGCGAACAAACGACAAGCGCGCCTAAATAGGAAAATTTGCGCATGCGTGCATGCAACTTTCAGAATGTTTAAATATTATCAACATACATAACATAAAGTAATTTTATATTCTTAACGAGAAGAGCATATAATTAATTTTTTAGTAATTTTATAGTATAGTAATTTTAGTAGTCAATGCATGTACTATGTTCTAACACTTAGCATATATTTTTAACACTTAATGTTAAGCGCTATTGAGCTATGGGAAATGGCGCTATATAAATGAATTATAATAATAATAATAATGATAATAATAATTAAAAACACCATGGCGGATCAAAATCACGAGCTCGTGTCTTGTTTTTAATTCTGCAAATTTTCCTATTCAGGCGCGCTTGCATGTCGTTTGCTCGCCGCACACGAGAATTTTTTTGTCACGAATGACGAAAAATATCAAACATGTTTGATATTTGGTTTACATGTCACGAATGACGAAAATGCCGTAGATGTTGCCCACACACGAGGAAATTTTGTCGATCCAACTTGTCACGAATAACGCGCGACAAGTGCGCTCGTGTGCGGCGGGCTTAAGACGAGTAGCTCAACCAATTTTTATCACCATTCAATTTATGATGATGTTTTCATATAAAATCATTGAAGTTTAATCTTTGGAAACAAAGGCGCGTAGGCAGTTGTTCGTTTGTCTTGAAGAAATATCTTAAAAACCGAACTTTCCTTACGTTCCTCGTTTGCCTTGAACATTATAATAAATCAAACGCCTGATGTAGTGACTAAATGCTTTTGCTCCAAGCGTTGTATTTCTGACAGACAGAATATTCTCCAACACTCAGCAGAAACCATGCTGTTTTTGGTTCCTCGAATATTTCGTTCAGTTAATTGGTATACAAATAAAAAAAGAGAAAACAGTTTGACGACACCCTTAGCAAATTAACTTTTCTCAATAAAAAAGCAAGATGGTTTTTATCTGATGGGTTTCTGTGCATGTATGACGCAACTACCCGAACAGTGGAACAACCTTCGGCTTTGACGTTTGGAACGAGAGCCTTTCGTCTAAGGCTGTTTCAGAAGCTGGTTATTATGTTGTCTATAACTTTGTTATCTATGCTTTCTTTAATAATCTCTAACAGAACTTATCTTACAGTTGCATCTATATCGCCATCTTGCTTACTTCCTCGTGGTCTATAATCAATGTTCATTATGCTAATTATGCTAGACACTATATCCCTCCTTTTCTCAGAATTGTTCACAATTGCAGTTCATTGTTAATCATCTACCACTATATCTATGTGTTGGTTTTTAACAAAACAGAATATAAATGCTAAGACAAATTGTTGATTGTCCAACAAGTTATATGACTGTCACTGTCAGCCCTTTCTATTTACAAAAAGGCTTAATGATAATAGTTCGGCCTTCTTCGTTCTCTCCTTGGATATTGCCGTTCTAGATTTTGTTGTTCATCTCGGTTGTGATTGTTGTTATCTTCATTGTCTCCAATATCACGTTGTTGTTCATGTTCATCACTATCTTCCATTTCCTTCTCATCTTCAGACGGCAGCCCAGTTGTTTTAATGGGTTTGAAAAACGATTAGTTTCTATTAATAGCGAATCCTGGTCTTTCTGCAGTAATCATCGTTCCTTTTACTTTGGTTATTCGTAGCGGTTTGGGATCAAAATACGGGGTAAATTTGTTGTGCTTTTGTTGCCTTACGAGTACATAATCACCAATGTTCATGGTTGTCGTCTTGCTTTTTCTCCGTCGATCTGCATGCATATTCTTTCATGCGTTGTCGTTGTTCTTTATCGCGTTGTTCGACGGAATGATCGAGGGCATTCTTGTCGGTTTTAGTATCAGTCTGAGGTAATCTTGTGCGGGTGTTCCTACCAAACATGAGTGTGGCCGGTGCAACTTGAGTTGTGGTATGGGGAGTAGCTCTGTAATTTAACAAGAATTCCTGCATTGTACGTACGGCGCCAATTTTGCTTTTGCAGATGAGCAGTACGAATGGCCTTCATCAGTGGTTTCACGAAAGTTTCGCTTTCATTTGCTTGTGGCCATAATGGAGTGATTGTTTTGTGTTGAATGCCATTGTCATCCATGAATTTCTTTATTTCTTTGCTCTTAAACGGTGGACCATTGTCCGAGATAACTTTTTTTGGTAATCCAAATGTGGCAAAGATCTCGTCTAAACATGGAATTAGGTGAGGAGCTTCCGTTTTCTTCATAATTTTTGTTACCGGATATCGGGAGCGTCCATGTATTAGGACATAGCCTGATGACCGACCTACGTTTCACCCGCCCTAAAATTCGTCGACGGAAAGGGCGAAACATAGGTCTGATGAAAATGTTAATTGTCAAAAGGGCCTTCCGCCCACTTTGCATTTTGCAGTAATTAACGATGATTGACACATACATGTAATATACCTAAAACTGCTATAAAAGTTGTCGATTTCACTTTTGTATTGCAAGTTTGTAAACTAGTAAGGGTCGATAAGTACCGATATTCGAATAAATATTTAAAATATTGGTAAACCCATGGAGTCTGTTGCTTTTATATACTTAAACCTTTGTAAACAAACAGTTACAGCTAGTAATAACACAACATTTTCAACAAATTCTATATATGCGATAAAATCTGCCTACGCAAATTTGGCAATGGCCAATGTGGCTATTGATTGCATCCCAACTCTTACAATGTATACATTTTGAAATCGCCATACAATTATATAATCTAAATAAAATATTTTGTATGTGCTATGTTATCAAAATGTAAATCATGAATGCGAACATATTTGTATCCGAGTTTTATTATGATTTATAATCACAAAACTTCGCATTGTGTAAAAGTTATATATTGTAATGTTTATTACAAAGGAACGATACAACGCTGAAGTATTTGACACGTACTGCTCAATCTGCTCCCCTCTACTGGCTCTAGTTATAATTTTAGACGGTAGATACTGATCATAGACTAGTTGTCGTTCGACATCACAAAATATTTAGAATATTACACTGTATGCGTATATATATGCGTTGATTTACTGTTGAAAATATTCTGATATTTTCATGTCAGCGATAAACCAATCACAACCCAGTTCCCTGTGAAATAGTCAATCAGCTGTTTCGACCGCCAGGCAGCCGACTTACATGCACTTTTGACGACATTTTCATCAGACTCTATATCGACCCGCGAATTTTAGGGCGGGCGAAACGTAGGTCTGTTATCAGGCTAATTAGGACAAAGAGTGTTTCTCCACTTGGTAACGAACCCAAAAAGTCAATGTATACAGTGTCAAAGTTCTCCTTGGGTATTTCGAGCATTAACAGAGGTTGTGGTGGTTTTGGATGTCCAGTGGCTTGGCATGGTATACAGCTGTCGATTGAAGATTTGACAAGTGAATCAATTAAGGGGAACCAAACTTTTCCTTGCATTAGGCTCTTCGTTTTAACTATGCCTTGGTGGCTAACATGGGCTAAACGTATGGCATCTGCTCGTAGGCTTTTTGTCATTATATACAATGCGTGTGTCTCGTAAAATGATGTTCTTATGATTAGATACAGTTAATTCATCTTAGTTCACGAATATCAATGTCTGTGTCTTTGGAAAAAGTTGTGGTGTCTCACATATGCCATAAGTTTTTCTGTGTTATGTGTGCAGCATGTTGCAAAGTTGGGTCATTTTGTGTTGCTTCTCTGATTTGTTGAAGGGTCATTGCTTTTGGGGTTGTTGATTCCGCAATGAACTGAATATTAATACTCAGAGTTTTCGCTGTCTTGTGATGTCATTGAGGTCATATTCATTGGGTGTCTTGACATGTAATCGGATGGGTTATCGTGGCCAGGGCGATAGTGAATTTGGAAATCGTGTGACTGTAGGCGTAAACGCCTGCGTTCTAATCGTGCCGGGCAATGTGAATTTGGATTCTGAAAAATCGATGCTAATGGTTTATGGTCTGTATACATTGTGAAATGAATTCCATAGAGAAATAAACGAAAATGTTCGAAGCCAAAAACAGTTGCCAATGCCTCGCGTTTTGTCTGACTATATCTTTGTTCTACTTCTGTAAAAGCACGACTGCCATATGCAACGACAGTTTCGTCATTTTGGCTGGGAGTATTTTGTATTAATATTGCTGCTAGACCAGTGGGAGAGGCATCTAAAATGAGCTTGGTGTCTTTTGAAGGATCAAAGTATGATAAAGTGGTTTTCTCGTTCAATCTTTCTTGTAATGTATCAAACCCATGTTGTTGTGATTCTTTCCATTCGTATTTTATGTCTTTTTTATAAGTTTACGTAATGGGGCAGTCAGTGTTGCAAGATCTTGGATAAATTTGCCGCAATATGTTACCATTCCTAAATAGCTACGAAGTTCAGAAACATTCGCTGGAGGTTTTAGAGACTTGATCGCTTCGATCTTTTTAGGACATGGGGATATACCATGCTTCGAGAAAACATGACCATAAAACGTGATGCTTGGTTTATCAAATTCCCGTTGTTCACCGTTGAAGCTTAAATTCTTTTCATTAGCACGCTGTAGAACAGATTCTAATGTCATGTCATGTTCATGTTGTGTTCTGGCAAAAACTAGTATGTCGTCGCTTATGTTTATACAACCGTCAATATCTTGGAATGTGGTCTGAATAACATTTTGGAAGATCTCAGCAGCACTATTTGTACCAAAGTTCAAACGTTTATATCTTTTGAGACCTTCATGAGTTGCAAATGTAGTTATGTCACGCGAAGCTTCATCTAACGCTAGTTGATGGTACCCAGAACTTAGATCAAGTTTTGAGAAATATGCAGCACCATTTAGTTTTTCAATTAAATCTTCAGTTGTGGGAGAAGGGTGACGTTCCCGTGAAATGGCTTTATTGGGTATACGCATGTCAACACAAAGACGAATTTGGTCGCGATTGTTGGGTTTTGGGAAACAGACAATGGGAGATACCCACGATATGGGGCCTGTTACACTTTCAATAATATCTAATCATTCAAGACGTCGCAGTTCTTCTGATAGTTTGGTTCTCATTGTAAATTGGATTCTGCGGGCTTTTGAATAGTGGGTTGGACAGTTTTATCAATGTGTAAATGGACTTTGTAATCTGGGACTTTTCCGATTCCTTGGAATAAATGATCATATTTCGAAAATATAAGGTTCTCAATCTTTTAGGTCTAGACTTCGTATTTGTTGGAGCATTTTCCTTAGGTTGATGCATGGGCGTACCGGAAGGAAAAAATTCCAAAAGGTCAAAAAAATTTTCCGGACATACCAACATTTTTTGGAACATCACACAAATTTTCCAAACAACACAAAATTTACCACAAAATTGACTGAATTTTCGACTAAACTGACAGAATTTGTCCCATTTATTTTTATTACAAACCAAAATTGCCCGACTGTTTATCGAATATTGCCCGACTGCCCAAAAAACTGGTAATGTAATGAAATAATTGCAATTTTATTTAGCTTTAATAACCCAAGATCAGTTGCTGTGTTTCCACTTATTAGGCATCGAGCATCAGTGTTTATCACATAAAATTGGGCTGTGGTAATTTTTGTTCCTGATTCAACTGAAGCTTCGAAATACCCTTTGATGTCGACGGAAGCTTTAGTGGCAAAAGCAAAAAGTTTTATTTTGCTTTTCCTCAAGTGGATATTGTTCTGGCGTGTTAATTTCTCAAAACTAGTATTATCGATAATATTTACACTGGCACCAGAATCAATAGAATAGTTATGTCATTGATTTTAATATGGGTGTAGAAATTTCGTTTGCGACAATCACTCTTAACTTCGTTAACAGTTCCTCCAGTGGGTGAAGTGGTGATAGATGTTAAAACGACTTTGTTAGTATCAGGTTGTTTTTTTTTATTGTGTAAACATATTCATCTGAGCTTGAGTTCGTACCTTGTCCGTCTATTTGTTTTATTTGGGATCTTCGTTCATTAGATTTCTGAGGAAACTTACTTTCGCGCTGTCCAGCTGAAATTCTCGATTTACAACATCGTGCAAAATGGTTTTGCTTGTGACAATGGTTGCATATTTTCCCTTTAGCCGGACAAACATTCACATGTGGCCAGTTTAATCCACAAAAGAAACATATTTTCTTATTACCATTTGCGTTCAAGCTTGCGGCGTGCAGTTTCAAAACGAACGTTTTACGTTTCAAAACGTACGTTTTATGTTTCAAAACGTACGTTTGGCGTTTCAAAACGTACGTTTTGCCACGCCCCATGTCATGTTTGGGCAATGAAACTGACATGTTTTGGCGCTTCGAATTGGCATGTTTTGCTAAAGGTTTTTACATAAGTAATTCGCACGTTTATAAAGAGCAAGGATTACTGTAATATTGGACGATGAAATCTGCGGACCAAATTCAAGAGCAAGTTCAGTAGGGAGAAACACGACGTGTTTTTTTCATGACTTCGCTAAGAACATACAACGATTTAACCCAAGCTATAAGACGATAAATTCCTAAAACAAGGGAACTGACATTCGGATTGTTATACGAAAATGACGAGAAAGAGTTCGTGGTGATGAATAATGATCCCCTATGTTTCAAAATCGCGATTTCTGGGGTAAAATGTATTCCAGGGGCAGGGACAGACATTAATCGCCTGAAAGTAAGAATATTCGAGTGCTCTTCACCAAGTGTGAAAGCTAAAGCCGGTGAAGTACCTGATTCACGTCGAAGACCGCTACAGTCAACATCAACATCAACATCAACATCGGTATCAAGGTCAGATTCAGAATTACGCCATCCAACGACAAGCGCGGCAAAATCTTGTCTGGTTAGCAACTTTATGGGTTGTGATAATGACGATAGTAATGACGAGGAAGATCGCATCATTATAGACCTAGACAATGAAAGTGACGACCAAGATGATGGGAGTTGATCAAAATATCAAATTTTAATATACTTTGTTTAAATATTTCATGGTTGGGGAGCTCGATTATAGTAGCGACACGAACAAGCAATATTTCTAAACAAAAATCGCTAGTATTGCACCGCGTCTAGCAAGTTCCTGAGAATGTTGTATTTTTACACGCAATTCGATGAATTTCATTGTGTAATTTATAGTAAACTTGTGACGCAAGAGGTAAATATCCCACGAATAGACCAACATCCATTCGGACGATGCAAAGTGCGGAGCTCGCGATATATTCAATGATATCCAAACTGTTAATTTAGCGAAATAAATCCGCTGTAATTTCCAAGGAAACTAGTTCCCGAAACGTTTGAAAGTTCGCCATTTTACGGTTCTTGTATGTCGCCATTAGGCCATCTTAATATCCGAAAACGACAAGTTTTAATACAAATTTGAGCTGTTTCGAGCTGCTATGTTTGTTGTTTATTTTGAAAGACTAGATCCCAGGCTCTCACGTAAAAACACAGGGATATTTTAGGATTTTTTAGGATATTTGCAATATTTTTAGTCTTGATAAAAATTTTCGGGGTTAAAGGTTAAAATACCGGAAGTGATCGGTAAAAACTGCAAAATATAGTTTAAAATCACAGTTTTTGGTTGAATAATAATTTAACTGGAGATACAAAGTAAAATGCGAAGTCGTTTTACTTATATTAGGCAATGTTGGGCATATAAAACGGACTTAGCCGCTGACTATAAAAGCGGGAGCAAAATGTCCCATATTTCTGGTAATGAAACATGCCCATTCGAAGCGCCAAAACATGTCAGTTTCATTGCCCAAACATGACATGAGGCGTGGCAAAACGTACGTTTTGAAACGCCAAACGTACGTTTTGAAACATAAAACGTACGTTTTCAAAGGTAAAACGTACGTTTTCAAAGGTAAAACGTACGTTTTCAAACGTAAAACGTACGTTTTCAAACTGCACGCCGCAAGCTTGAACGTATGGCGTGGATATCTTTCATGAGTGTTTCATTCATATTTTGCTCAATTCCGCTCGCATCCTCTTCAACAGTTTCAAGTGTCCGTCCATAGTCTAAGAGTTCAGCCAAAGTCAGTTTTGGTTTACGGAAAGAATATCATCGAAGTTGTTTAGAATTGATCCCTAGCTCAATTTGAGCTTTTATCTCAGTATCTAAGTTTGATAATTCACAGTACTTAGCTTTCTGGACGAGTCGTACATGGTGACTGATCGAGAGTTTCGTCAACAAGTTGGTTTGTTTTCCTAAACTTGAATATTTCAAACCATGTATTCTTGTGAGGTTTAAAGTAGTCATTTAATGCTTGATACGCTTTGTCATAGTCGTCTTTTGTGCCTGTCTCTGGCAGTGTTTCAAAGATATTTAAAGTACTTTCACCGATATAGTATAATAATAACGCTCGTTTTTTTTCTTGTCTTTTATATCGAGTGCATTCAGTAGATTTTCGAATCGCATAAACCATCGTTGCCATCGAATTTCGAAATTTTCCCGATTCTCGGCGTCAAAAGAAGCAAATTCTGGTAAGCTAGTCGCCATTTTAGGTACTTGTATATGAAACGATCCTCGTCGCCAATATAATGTTGTCTATAACATTGTTATCTATGCTTTCTTTAATAATCTCTAACTGAACTTATCTTACAGTTGCATCTATATCGCCATCTTGCTTACTTCGTCGTGGTCTATAATTAATGTTCATTATGCTAATTATGCTAGACACTATAGTTATAGCTTACAGTAATCCTGCGTTAAGAAAAATCTCAAACCACACAACAGATTGTTTATAAAACGGAAATTCAAGATTCTAGAATTTTTTCCTGGATCGATAGAAGTTTTATTTTCTGAAGTATGGAAATGAAATTATGTAAAGACTTGCGCAAATACACAAATCAAAACAGCAGGTTAAATTTTAAACCAGGGTTAGTGCTAGGCCTATTAAATCGTGGTTTGAAGGTTTGACCCTGGGGCCGGTTGTTCATAGCTTGCTTAGCGCTAACCGTATAGGTTAAAATTTAACCTGCTGTTTTGGTTTGTACGTCTATATAAGTTTGTTCTCTTTTTCAAGTAGTTGTATCATACAGAGAAGCACTATAGCTGGCACGCGTACCAGAAAAAGGAGAACAGTTTGACGTCCTTATAGTAATTAACTCTTACTTAATAAAAACACTATAAAGTTATTATCCGATGGATTTCTGTGTATAATGCACTGATCTGAAAACTATAGGACTGGATAGATTATCCTTTGGAATTCGATCTGTCAATTTTGGAGAAGCCAGAATATTTCTAATGAGATGAGATTTTGAAGTCTGCATGTCAAAATATTTTTGGATCGCGAAGTGTTAAATTAGATACAGTACACTATCAAACAAATGTCTTTCCCTGTGTGTAATTTTAAAAGATATAGCTATAGCTTCCCACATCCCTTCTACAATGAATTTTAGAACGTTTTAACACTAGATAATAGAACACTATAGTTTTAAACTTAAAGTGCTACTGTGACGAAAATTAATCATCGAGAAAATTCCCTTTTTTGCTGGCAACGACTTTATTATTGCACCAAAAATGCGTGTGTAAAATTTCAGGCGAACATGATTAACAACCACGGAGTTACGAGCATTTGAAATGTCCAAAATCGCTGTCCGCCATTAAAATCCGCCATCTTGATTTTATGTTGTCACAAGAGGCTTCTGACGTCATAGTCTCAACACACCGCAAGTGCACAAGTAGAATTAGTAAGCAAACGTAGAGCATCGCATATATTTCAAGAACTAAAATGTCAGTTTTGTCGCGATCTAGTAGCGTTTCGGAGTATTTGTCTGAAACAAATTCTCCTGCATCTCATCTGTTTATATAACAGCGCATTCAAGAGAAGCTGACAATAAATTTTTGCCATTTGATGATACTATTGATGGAGCCGCTTGCCTCGCCTGAAGAGGTAGCCGAGTACGAGGTCGACGAAGCTGTATCAGAAGACGAACAGCTCGAAAATATGTTACAAAATCGTTTAGAAGGCCATGTTGATGTATCGTCTTGGTAAGTTTGTGTTCTTATTTGCCGGAGTAATAAATTAAAACATATCTCTGAACTTCTATTTTGCATTTTTTATAAGGTGTGAATGTGGCCATTGCTGTCAACCTGAAGTATGCCTACTATGCCGATGTTGTTATTAAACAAGCATTAACATATTGTGCGCGCACATTTATATAATATTATATATTTTATAGGTTCTTACGCACAGTTTTCTACAGACAGCTCGTGGTTTGGTATGAGATTTTACGGGCAGTTCAAGGCATCTCACATTACCGTGTTGTTGTTACAATGAAATATGAACAACATTCCCGAACACTGATCAGCGAGATTACACGGAGTTTGAAAAAACAGCTCGATGGTTCATCCTCGTTTGTATCAGTCTTGTTTGCAGTTTCGCCCAACTCGTTTAAAATTTAAACCTATTTTCAATAATATGAGAACAACACTTGTCGCGTGAATTTATAATTGATCTGGTACCATTTATAGACCTCCAGGTGCTTCTGTCGACTCTTTTGCCAATATTGAGCAACTAATTAAACTTATAGATGATGAGAATAAGGAATTTTAAATGCTTGGTGATTTAAATGCCAATATGCTTGACGTTTCAAATAATGCCACAAAAAACTTAAATTCAATCATTGAACTATATCAGTTAACACAAACAATAAGCTCACCCACTCGCGTGACCATGACTTCATCTACCCTGTTGGATGTTTGTCTCACCCCAACTCCAGATAAGTTAGTCTTATCTAAAGTGGTGCAGATTGCTATCAGCGATCACTATATGATTTTAGTTGTTCGTAAAATTAATATTCGTCCTAAACAAAACAACAGCCACATGAAAGTCGAAATTCTAAACTTTAAGTATTTTAATGCTGAAAATTTCCTAATGGACTTGAGTAATCAGGAATGGGAATTGTTGGACAATAACTTCTGCGTTGACAGGATGTGGGAAACATGGAAAATTATTTTACTAGTACACTGCGAGAAGCAAAAACAGCATATTATAAAGCACAATTTGAAAGTGTCAAACATGACCCTAAAAAAGCTTGGAAAACCGTTATTAAAATCCTTAACCGGAAACAAGAATGTCGCGAAATAAATTGTATCCATACTCAGAATGGTCAAATTTCTTGTCCAAATCAATTAGCGGAGCGCTTTAATAATTACTTTACTGACATTGGTCCAAAAATTGCCACAACCATTGGTAATACTGATAGAAATTTCACGGATTACATAACAAAAGCAACAAGTAGTTTCAAGTTTCAAACAGTGTCTGAAACCAAAGTATACAAACTTCTCTCCTCTTTAAATCCTTGTAAAGCTGCTGGAATTGATAAAATTCCCGTTAAAACTATTCGTATTACTGCGCCAATAATTGCAAATTCACTGACAATAATTTTTAATACGGCAATCTATAGTGAAACTGTTCCTTCAGAGTGGAAACTAGCGAGAGTTATCCCTTTACACAAAAATGGCCCTCGAAACATGTTGAATAACTATCGCCCAATTTCCATTCTGCCTATAGTAAGAAAGTTTTTGAAAAAGTTCTATATAGTCAACTATATGATTATTTTGTTGTTAAAAATTCGTTGTCTCAAAATCAATTTGGTTTTAGGCAGTTCCATTCTACAGCTTCTGCCCTTTTGGACAGTACTAACGAATGGTTCATTAATATGGACCGTGGTCAATTCAATACTGCAGTATTTCTTGACTTGTAGAAAGCATTTGATACTATAAATCATAATATATTGATTAAGAAACTTGACTTTTATGGTCTACAAAAACCTACCATAAATCTTTTAGGATCATGCTTAGAAAACAGATTTCAAATGTGTACTGTGAACGGCGTATTGTCTAGAAAAAATCTAGTTACTTGTGGGATCCCCCAAGGTTCAATTCTTGGGCCACTCCTGTTTCTAATTTATATAAACGATCTGCTTACAAGTCTTGAACACTCGTCATCAAGAATGTTTGCCGACGATACAACGTTAACTGTATCTGGTAAATCTCTTCATAATGTAGAATACACGGCATTATAATATTAATAATATATTGGCTACCCCAAAGGTATTTGTTGGTGACATACCAATTAAAAGGGTAAGAGAAACAAAGGCACTTGGAGTCTATATTGATGAATTTCTATCATGGGAAAAGCATATTGATAAAATTGCCAAAAAAGTCTCATCCGGAATTGGGGCAATCAGAAAGTTAAAATCAT